CTTTAATGAGAATAGGAGTTCTGATTTCCCCTTTAGGCCTGGACTGACCATCGGACACACCGAGCAAAAGAGGCCCATGCAGAGCCAGCACTATCCAATCACTGGCCCTCCTGTGTGACTTGATTGACTGGTAGAAAGATCAAAGTTCTTAAATCAGGAGAGGACCTGGACTTCTAACTGTCACCTTAGTTAGAAGTATTGTGAATTTGCCACTAACTCATAAGAGAAGAGTATGCACAAGTTCATAGTATAGACATGACATATTAAAGGAACCCTAGCATTACGAATACAAAACTGTGTACCTAACTCTACAATGCCCCTGTATTTTATAGATTCAGCGGCCCCTTGATTGCCATAAAAATAATTTCAAAAGTTTTATACTTACCTTTTTGCACCGTCGATACTCCTTTGGGGCTTCTCACCTCTCCGCCTCCCACAATGTCATCAACAGGGCATTTATTCTTTCATCTGTGGGGTCCTAATGTGCATGTGTGGCAGCTATGCGTGTGAGTCCAATGCTTCTTATAAGACTGAGTTGCCGCATTACGCTACTGAGTTTTAATATATAGCAAGTATAGCAAGAACGGCCACAAGATACCTAAGCCCTCTACAAAAATGACAGAACCACTAGACCCAGATGAGGTGGTCTGGTTCTTTAAATAGCTGGTCATAGGTAAACCTTTGGGATATGGGATGGGATGGGATATGCGATGGAGGACACCACATCTCCACGGCATGGAACAATTCCTGAAGTTCTGTGCACCTGGCCAAACAAATCCAGCCTAGTTAATTCTGACCATGCGATGGCACTAGAACACTTATGGTTAAGCCAGAGAAAGACCAGAGGACCAAAGCTGGCCATCTGAAACTCCAGTTCAACTGGGTGGCGATTGGGCACTTTTTGGAGTGGAAAATACCTGAGAGGGCAAGCTATATGGGGACACCTAGTTTGCAGGGGTTCCATGTCTGGGAGGGGGAAAAGGGAGCCTGATCTCCCAGTGCCCTGTCTGGAGAGGACTTAGCAGCGTATCAAGTCTTATCAGTCCAGACATATCAGGACAATAAGAAATTATTTATTTTTCCATTTTCTATTCCATAATATGCACTCCTTTATATTTAACAACTGAAAAGCACATCACAAAAATGGTTAAAACAATACATGGTGTATAGGTCCTCTCCCAGCTCTAGCAGAGGAGGATTGTCTCCATCCTTCCACAATACGGTGGAAATGAATCCTGCATTCTCACCCTATTTGTCCCTTTCAAGTATTGACCCCTTCCCTCTTTAATGTTTTATCCCCTTTAGTGTACCTTATCCCCTTGTGTGTCTTACTGCCCCCTTAGCTTCTTTATGGGTCTTTTACTTCACTCCAGCCCCTTTGTATTTCTTACTTCCCTCCAGCCCCTCTGTGTCACTTTCTCCCCCCAGCCCCTATGTGTGTCTCTTACTTCACCCAGCCCCTTTGTGTGCCACTTTCTCCCATCCTAACCCCTCTGTGTATCTCTTCTCCCCAGCCTCTTCATGTGTCTCTTTTCCTCCCAGCCACTTTTGTGTATTTCTCCCCCAGCCACTTTGGGTATCTCTCCCCAAGTCACTTTTGTATGTCTCATCCCTTCAGTAACTTGTCTATCTCTTCCCTCATCCCCTTGCATGTCCCTACCTCCCAGGACCTTT